TAATGGCTCACAATCCCCAGTTTGAGAACCCCTTGCATTAAAGCACCACAGCTAAATAGCTAAAGTTTGATTTGTGATAGAAACGCGCTGATAAAATGTTATTTCCTGGAATGATGTGGCATGATAATAAACAATATTAATGAATAATCAGTTGCCACGTCGCCCAGCAGCTGTTTCTCAACAAGTGATGGGATTTGTAGTCCTCAGCCTTCCCGCACGCGGTTATAAATGGACGAAAAGTCCCAGCATGCAGCGCGCAGAGGTGCGCGTGGCAGCTGCGCGTTGAATCAACACTGCTGCAACTGTGAGAGAAGAAACGAGGTTTGTTCACGCTGCCTTTTTATCTTTGTGCCTTTGTTTAACGCGTTCGGCTCTACGTCAGTAGACACTTATTTAATCTTGTATGTTCCATAACGACTTTCACGTTGCTTTTTGGGAGCTTCTACCGCACGTCTTCGTCCCAACTAGCTAGCCGGCTTGTTAGCTTTGTGCTCACTTTTGGAACGTCATCTGTCGTCATATGAGAGCTTGTTCAACAACTATCATTACTGTTACTGCTTTTGCTGTTACTGTGCAATATTCAGTCGCGGTGACGTTTGAATAGGTCAACAAAGAATTCCCTTTTGTGCAGAAGATCAGCTTGAACGTGGGACTTTGCCCCACTGGCTAACATGGAGCCAGCCTGGAGACCCCAGGGCCGGGGTCGTGGGCGGAAGTCGGAAGCTCCAGCAGAGAGGGTAAGAGAGAAACCCGGAAGTGGCGCTGGAAGAGGAGGAAGTGGCACAGGAAGAGGAGGAAGTGGCACAGGAAGAGGAGGCAACGCCAAGACCATGGTCCCACCCGACGTTGGGCACGGTGAGGACCACACAAAGATCGCAACGTTGTAGGGACGTGAAATAAAATGAAAACCTTTTTTCCCCAGCAAGACCAGTGTCACTGGAAGAGCTGAAATAAAGGAACAAAACGGGGTTTAAATTTTGTCAATACTGTACATTAAAAATTAACGTCATGACATATTCAATTTGACAAATTTTGGCAATATACATATTGGATGTAACTTCATCTGCTTGTCCCCTAAAAATTGACCAGGATAAAGTGATATAAATATTCCAACTAGTTTTCAGAGTTATCCAGCCGTGCATATGATAAACATGGAAATACTGCATGAAAATCATCAAATCAAAAACGGGGCGACAGAGGAGTTTCCATTGTACATCATATCCAACAATAAGCATGGACAACATATTTTTACCAAGCCAGAGCTAATTTTTCTTAGAGGTGTGCAAAGAGGACCTGCACGATATGATCACATGAAAACGTTTTGATAAAATGGCGGAAAAGAGTCAGTTGTCACAAACCTCATCATTGTGTCTGCTTCAGTGGTCCGCTGACCAGCTTCTTCTCTTCTGGCGGACAGGCGCTTCCGGTCCGGCCAAGTTCGAAGAGATCCGAAAGTCCAACCAGGCCGCCGCGCAACGACTGATGGAACGTCACACCAACTGCTCCTCCTCCTCTGAGGAAGAGGATGATGATGATGATGACAAAGAGCACAAGGACGCACGCGTCCTGCAGTCCACCTTCATCACGTATGCCAGTCACACAGGTGAGACACGTCACCGGGACTTTGGTCAGACTGCCAGTCCCAATCCCATTTTTGACACATTTACGCTTTGAAAGAATTTTTTTAAGGTTGATTTAACTTTTCTTAACACTGACATATAGTGACAGACAGAACAATTACCGTTGCCCTAACGTGCGTCTTTTTCGAACACGTGTCTTCGCAAGGCGGCGACATCACAGACCTACAGAGGACGGGCCAGTACGTCAGCGAACTCTTCCAGTCCGGAGCGCTCACCTGCCTCATCTGCATCGCCTTGGTCAAGCGGACTCAGCCGGTGAGGAAGGGAAAACAGGCCCCGGTTAGGTCGGGTGACGCCGCCACCCGGCTAACGTCTACCTGCCGCCCTCCAGGTGTGGAGCTGCTCCGGCTGCTTCTCTCTCTTCCATCTTCCGTGTATCCAGAAGTGGGCCAGGGACTCGGTGTTCCTCCTTTGCTCTGCCACAGACGAAGACTTCGGCCGTAAGCAGCATCCGTGGCCCTGGTGAGGCTAAACATACCAGAAAAACAATCATGTGGATGTTCTTCTTTCCATGCGTGATCATTTTCCCCTCCGCAGTCCCAAGTGTCGGACCGAGTACTCCCACGCCGCCACGCCCACCAGGTAAGCAGCCACCGGGACGAGCTAACGTTGATCGTGGGCGTGATTGTGAGCGTGTGTTGCGTTCAGGTATGTGTGTTACTGTGGGAAGCTTGAGGATCCTCCCGCCGATCCCTGGTTAGCTCCTCACTCGTGTGGCGGCGTGTGTCACAAGGAGCTGAAGCCTTCCTGTGGACACGCGTGTCTGCTGCTGTGTCATCCTGGTAAGCGCGCGCACACACACTCTTTCTGTGTGTCTTCGGAATAACTTTGTGTCTGTGCTCGTGCCCGCAGGTCCGTGCCCGCCGTGTCCCAAGATGGTGTCTGTTTCCTGCTTGTGTGGCAAAGCGACACCCCTGCCCCGGCGCTGTAGCAACAAGGTGCTCATGGGCGCATTTTCAAAAACACTCGGCACAGCTCAACCAAAGATTATTACCGTATTGGCCCGAATATATGACGGCCCTGATT